TTCTATATCAAATTTTTCAACCACGTTGATAGTAATGGCTGTCTCCATTTTATCAATGTGGCCAGTGATACTTGGAACCACTAAGTGTGGTTCATTCCTGTAAGAAGAAAAATCTAATTCTTTTATAAATTGCAATGTAAGTTGCTCAGTTGCAACTGTCTCCTTCCTGTGATCTATTAATGTGAATATGGTTGCAAAGATTCCTACCCAGCTCTCTGCAGCCACTGAAAATAAAAAGAATAAAAGTAGTTTTCAGGAATGCTTTTTTGCCTTGGTACAGTGGGTTTCTGTGGTTGGTTTGGGCTTTTTTGGTTTGGTTTTGTGGTTTTTTTTTTTGTTTTGTTTTTGGTTAGGAGCTGGCAATCTGCAGATCTCTGGTGGCAATCCATTCATGCTAACTTTGAAAAAGCAGTTTTTCTCACCATCAGATGATCCTAAGTATTTCCTAAAAAGCTTGGTATGCCATACATACTTAGCATGGGAGAGGCAGTGATAGATACTGTTAGAATTCTGTTGCTGAAGTTGATTTCATACACTGGCAAAGTTTGGTGTCAAGGGTAATTAGCTGCTTCATCAGCAATTAAGGCTTAAGATTTTGTAAAGACTGTTCATGTCTTAATGCCTTAATAGGCTTTTCCTGACCTTCACATTTTTTTTTCTTCACTGATTCCAATCTACTGGATCAGTGATGAATGCGAAGATGCTGTCAGCAGGTCTTTGCAGCTGCTGTTGCTAAGTGGACTATATAAATCTCTACAAGGAGAAAAAAAAATCCTCAATCTCCTTATTAACAATCAAGTCCCATCTGGTTGTATCAAGTGTTTTTTGTTACAAACTGCATTCTTCCTGATAGTTCCGGCAAACTTTGGGAGAAGGGCATAACATCTCTAGTCTGGTAAGATCTTCATACAGCAGTTGAGACAAGGATGTTTTCAATTCCACTTGCGGTGAACTGCTGTGTCACTGTGTTTTGTGATCTTTTGACATTGTAAATATGAATACTGATTTATAGACTGAAAAAAGAGAAGAGTGGATCAAAATAGCAAAGTAGAGATTTTCATGACAGCAATGTGTGTTATTTACATCCTTCTAAAACATACATAAGAGAGACTGGGGAATAAACACACCATCTCAACTTCTGCAAGCAAAGTTTTTTTGTAATTCCTTAATTTTCTTTGTCATCATTATCACAGTACATTGCTGTGCATTGCGGAAGTAGAATTAATAACAGAAAAAATCCTCTGATTTCAACTTTGGTAATTTGAGAGTTTACTTTACAGTCAAGAGACCAGAAAAAAGAAAGAAGAAAAAAAAGCTGCAAAACTCACGTAGAAATTTGGGATCACTTTGGCAAAGACCAAGCCAAGATCACTAGTGAGGCCAAAACTTACTAACTTTCTGAATCACTCCTTTTTGTCAGTTCAGCACAGCATTTGTGTAAGTTCTGCTGTTCATCTATTAAATCCCTGTCTGATCATCTCTCTGAATTTAGTCGTCTTTTGTGCTGTGCATACCATGCTAGACGTGAAAAGAGCTGTGAATCTGCTTTATAGGCTCCTGCTTCATGCACTTTGCCAGAGCAGGATATTGTAAGAGCTTTGTCAACATCTGTAAAATCAGTGTGCTATAATACTAAAAATAGTAAAGAATGCAACTGCAGGTGCTAGCGCAGGCAGTGTGGATATGTAGACGAAATACCCATTATCTTTGTTTTTTATGAGAGTAGCAGCATTAGAACGCTTCCTCTAATACCTTCAGTCCCAGTGCAAAGACAGGGTCTTATCCTTTGAGCTGCTCTTTTGAAAGTACCGATTCCAACTGCGTTTATTGCTCCTCTCTCACAACAGGATAACCCTGAGAAGTAGAGCTGGTACAGGATGAGTTGAAAAGAATGTACCAAGAGCAGCAGTGTATGGAACAATAGATTTATTTTTGTAATTTTTAGAAATGGAATTAAGAAGGCTAATATGAATCAAAGTTAAAGCTAATGTCTAACTGCTAATCTAGATGATTCTATTAAGTGTGTTACATAAGCTTTACATGTATTCTGTGAAAACAAAGACCATCTAAATAAGTTGGGAGAATTGTGACAGCGCTGCTTCAATGTAGATAATACTTGAGTCATATGAACATGTTTTAAAGCCAGTAGTAATCTTGCTCGCTTACATGTCTAAATCTTGGAATCCTGCCAAGCCCCTGATGACTTGCAGCAAAAAGTTATATTGTGCACTCAAATTTTGTGATTTTTATATTTATTCAATTTAACTGCATGCAGCCTGTCTCAAATACTACGAAGTTATTAGGAGAGGAGGACCATATTCAAAATTATTTTCACTGTCTACTTCTAATGATTTGATATCAGTAAAACTGTAACTCTCATTTTGTTGTGACTTCATAATTATAATTTTTAAATTTTGCTGCTGCTGTGCTTTCTAAAAAATTATTCTTGTTCTACCAAATTTTGTTAAGAATGTCATTTTGGAGGCTCTCAGCTACACCCAGATCCTGTCTTTCCCACTTACAAAGGTGGGCTGTCCTGGAGAGAATTGGCCATAAGATACACTGTGAGCGATGGAGGGCTTTGGGATGCCTGGTGGGTTATGGCCTTCCTTTCCATTCTTCACAAGACTAGGCAAGGTTGTTGTCTGTGGGCCATTGTCATGTTAATGTTTTGCTGCCACTTGTTTTTTTTTAAAAAAAAGACAAGTATTTTAAAGCTTCTAAGTAGGTTTTTAAAAAATGGGAGGATATTCTGTATTTTTATGTTTACGTCTTGGAATGATGCATTCACACAAATACATAGGAAGAAAACCTGTATTCATTTGGCCCAAGTCAGATTTCTGCCAGTCTGTCAGGCATAAGAATGTGGTGAAACATCAAGCACTTTGTGCACAAAGAAGTTGCCATTTCTAGATTTCTGTGCTCTGGTGTTTTCCTTGGCTTTCTCCAATACTCCATAGTCCTAGTAAATTTGATGTAAAGCAATTGGAGTCACTGTGGTGTAAAACAGAAAAATGTTTGTGAAGAAATAAACCTTTGTATCTTCCTCTGGCTAGTACTTCATTTTTGCTAATTGTTAGAAATCTTCTCAGAAACGTGAAGCAATAGACAAATCAGAACTCAGTTTTACGAACTCAGAAGGCGGCAGCCATCGGGCCGTTTTTGTTGCAGTGTTCCCGTTAGGGGGCAATGTTATTCCTTGGTTACCCCGGCTCTAGAAGCAAGCATGGCTGTGCTGCATTGACTTAGACAGTATCTCAATATTTTTGAGTCAATTCATAAAAAATATTTCATAAAAGGTAACTCTATTATCTACTTCCTAGCTTTACATTTACATACGAAACATGTTTTCTTGTAAAGGAGCGATGGCTGCCTTAATCACAAACAAAGAATGTTGTCTTACAAGAGTGCTAAACTGAATTTTTCTGTTCAGATTCAGTCGATGTTAGAATGTATCTTGATTCCATAAATGTTATACGCTTGGAGATTCCAAATAAGTTCTTCAGTGCTAGAATTTGGTGCTGCCTGCTTAATTTCGTATCAGTAAAAGCTCAGGAAAACAGATATTAAAGGAACAAAGGGTTAATTAATTATGCCAAGCTTTTTGGTTTTTTGCATAGTTGCCCATTTCTGTTTGAGGCAAGGAGCAGTTCAGAAAAAAACTGCGTTCCTTTTAGTAGCAGAGAGGCAAGAGGGAAGGAACAGATACCTTCATGGGTTTCATTCTAAATAAAACTGTACTGGGTTTATTATTATTATAATTTTGATGAAATATCAGTATATTTTCAGGGTTTTTAAGTTTGTCAGCAAAGCAATGTTTTGCTAGAATCTCCTGCCAGGAGAAAAGATGACTTGTTTTGTCCTCATTGACTGTTTTTGTTCAGAAAGCAGGTGACAGCAATCAATTCCAATGCCATCTACATCTCCAATTATTTTACAAACCCCAGGAGCTAATTACAGCCCTCAGGCTCTGGCAGTCAGCTGACTTCATCATGCGACTTTTTTGGCCATTGCGTACCTCTGAGTAATTGTCTATTTATGGAAAATAAATTAATAGCTGCTATTTCTACTTTAAAAAGAGGACCTGTGAGTGAGTGTGTAGGTTGAGCAAGTGGTTGTAGAGAGAAGGAAGAGAGATTAAGAGAGTAGGAGGCAAAGGGATCAATTGAAAGAATAAAAGAGTGGGGGGAGAGGGGAAGAAGATGGCAAGATACTAAGGGAAGAAGTTAAAATGAAAGGGAGGAAGGAAGCAGGGTCCCAGAAAATTGAACAGGAGAAGCAAACATCGCAGCAAATAGCAAGATATAGTGTGACAGGAGGAAAAAAGTGAGCAAAATCATGGGAAACAGTATTTTAAAATATGATTTTAATATAAACCTATAAAGATAAAAAAGATGCATTTTTTTCCAAACTGTAACTGTCTTATAAACACAGAAAAAGAAGCAAAGTCTGGGATTCTTACTGTACATACCTCTCTGAAAACGCTGTCAGCATAGATGGTGCCTACCTTCTTGGCCTGCTTAAGGGGAGAAAGGATTAGATGTTATCTTTATTTGTGTTGATCGTATGATTCATAGAGAAATTAAAACTGTGCATTTTAATATATGGTACTGCAGTAATGTGCATGAATAATAAACTAAGCATCCTTTGTTTAGAAGGTTCTAGAAGTCTTTTGCAAGTCATATTTTTGACACGGTGGATGTACAGAAGGTTTAGAATTGATGAATGTCAGCAAGCTTTGCCTGCAGGTTGTATAGACAAATCTAAAAAAACATTTTTTGTATACATGCTTATGTTCACTGCCTTCTATTGAAATCTTACATCTCTTCAAAACCTTTTTAAAAATAAATTTTTAAAAAAATGCTTGTTAGGGTATCAGCTTGTTTGGAATGAGATGACAGACTTTTCAGAATCTTGTAAAATAAATGATGGCAACTTAATGTAAAATACTTCATATTATTGTACATAATAATCAGCAATCTATCTTCTTCACCTTTCAGATCAGCTGTTCCATGTGTTGGCCATGCACATGCGCCTCTACAGTATAGACTCTGCATACAATCCCTGGAGAAAACTAACCCAGCCGATGCAGGACAAAAATTCAGAGCAAGTATTTTAATTTACCAAGTATCAGTTTTACCTTGTGAAAGAAACATCCTTACAGAGGGACTTTGGGTGACTTTCTGTCTTAATTTAAATTCTCTGTGAGGTAGGCTGATGAACTTAACACCTAAAAATTCTATGTATATATTTGTAAAAATAAATTTTCAGATTTCTTTTATGTAAAATCTGACACATTCCAGTTTTGAGTTGAAGCTTAAATACACCACTTGCAAGCTTAAGCACATGCAAATTTAAAAGTATTGGGTGAGTGGATAGCTGCACTGCTGTTCTTGGTACTAGACAAAATTTACATCGAGATTAAGTTCATAAATAGTTTATTGAAAGCTGGGCAATGACTAATAGCTGTTACAGAAATAATATAAGTAGGCCTAATATATGTGAGAAATAATTCTATCTGAAGCTAAAACTTTTCATCATGCTTGTTATTTTAAACAAGTTATTTACCTGAGTTTGCTTTTAAAACATTAACCTTACATATACAGCTGTGCAAGGATTAACAGTATAATAAATGGAGCCATGTATGTGTGTTCTTCAAAGACTCATCTCCCTACTTGACTTAAGACCCTTCACTTTTGAGATTCTACCTTGACTGTGAGAAGAAAGGTTTCTTGCCTAAAACCAGATGATTATTTTTCCTCGTAAGAGGAAAACAGTAATTCTTTTTTTCTCTTGGCACCTTCAGCATCTTCTTCATAGCTAAGGTCTCCACTTTGTAGCTTGCAATAATGTTGAAAAGACTGTCTTTTTAGTGCCTATCCAGCTCTGTATTTGTCCGTGTGTTTCTAGGAGCCTGAGGTGGAAAGCATCATGGGATTTAAAAAATTAATCTAGTATAGTGATGCCACAGTCCTACTCTACAAATTAGTAAAAATTATTAAAACGTCTGTGCTTGCTTCTAGCTTGAGATTTTACTGTTTGTCCTCTTGGACCCAGGTCTTTTCTTGCAATCAACATTAGGTTATTGTAGTAATTAGACTAGATTAACAGATTAGTTTATAAACCTTTAGCAGAAAAAAGCATCGAGAATTTTATAACCTGAAAACCTATGTTATTCAGCATGCATTCAAACAGCTTTGAGAGTATGTTTTTGTGTGATTCTGCCCTGACCTAAATTGAGCAGTGGAACAAAGTTAATAAATTTGGTGTATGGTTGACTGAGTTATACCAGGCAAAATTAAGATCATGTTGATAGGCTGCTGACAATCAGAATGGCTGTGGGACTGATCATGCACTTCTCATTTTGGTATTTCAAGAGCTTGCTGGTTTTGGAAGCAGCTGTTAGCAGAGGGGATGCTTCTTCTGCACGTGCAACTTTTTTTCACCCTTACAGACTTGATGGAATTCGCCATGTATTGGTCATATCAAGGTTAGATTGCTGCAAGTTAGATTTCATTAGGCAGTATTTTGAATCTCTTTGAAATGAATGGTACAGTAGACCATAATGGCTTGCTTTGCAGGAGGTGTTGTGTGTTGGGAATACATTTGAGCAGTTCTCTTGTTTTCTGCACTGGTTTTCAAGATTTCTTGGTAGACTTGCTGATGTTGGTTTGGCACTAAGTCCTAAATCGTTCAGGAAGCTGTAACTGAGAGATCATCCATTTTGTCATGCAGTGGTTTACTGTTGAGATGCACAGATGCAGTCAAGCTGGAATTTTTTTGCTCACTCCTTGGAATGTTTTTCCTACATTAGTCTGCAGGCCCCAGAAAGCTGCAGAGGAGGCAACGTTGGGGACATGTTTTTAATGTATAAATTAAAGCATAAGATGGGTATCCATAATTATATTTTAGAAATTTGAAGTAGTAGTTTCACTTGAAGACGGCATTCATATGGTTGGTGTGTATGATCTAATTGCAAACTTTTTAGAGTCCCACAGCCTTCTGAGAAATCCAGAAGAGCGAATTTTTTCAGGTACAGGAAATAGTTCTCAGAGTAATTAGAAGGTGATACACTGCTGTAAACTGAAGAAGATTAAGAGGGTGGTGGAGAAATACCCCTGCAGATTTAAGATGTGGATAGCTAACCAAGTAATCTGAATCATCAGCCTGACTGGTACGTGAGACTTTAAGTAAAGATGTGTAGGAATTAAAATGAGAGGAAAAGATCTGTATTAGCTGACTATATTACTGTGATTCTGAAATATTTAACATCAGGAAAGTCACAGGACCAAAATAACTTTAAACCAACATGCTGTATTTTTTTCTATTTAATTTTTACTTTGAATTACTATTTCAGTGGAAAGCAATTTTCCAGAGAAGTTAGTTGCATCTTTATTTATTTAAAAAGATAATTTTCAAAACTGAAAGAGAAAGTAATCGATGGGGTACAAGTGCCATTACATTGTCTTTTCACCTTTATTTAATTGTAGTTATTTTATTTAAATACATAAATATTTACAATTAAAACTACCCAGAGCTCACAATTTTTAGCTTGATTTTCCACAACCCAGCTATCATTATTCATAAATCATGCCTTAGTTTCATGTGTCTGGGAGAACTGATCCAGTAATTTGTGAAGACTCTTACTGAATTGCCCTACTATACTTCCCAAAGCCCCTGGTTTTGCCTGGTGTCATCTTCTACAACTGTACCTAGATCGTGCCACAGTTGAAAATGGCAGCTGAGAGGAAAGATAGGAAGGAGTTCATGCAGTCACACCAAGGTAAAGTAGAAATAAGAAAATTTTGAGCAAGAAGATAACCCTATCGAAAAGGGCCTAAATAATGTGAACTGTTTGAAGGAAGAGGGAGGAAAAAAGATAAAGCTAAGTCTGATGAGCTGTGAATGGTATAGCGGATTCTTTCTCCTGTGCAGTTGATGTTGTCAAATTTAATATACACTTGGTCCCACAGGCTGTGCTCAAGCAAATTGTTCTGCTGGGGCAGATCTGTTTTTAAGGGTGATCAAATAAACAATTATTGTGGTGTAAGCGGGGAATAATAGCTTCTGGCAGGGGGCAGAGAAGGAGCAGCTGGAGGCAATAATTACTAAACCCAGATGTGAATTTAATGGACTAGTCCAAATAGCCAGAGTTTCAGGAATGGCAAACCTGAAATAAAAGGATATACATTTTTTTAAATTTACATCTCTACAAAGGCTGAAATTTTTCTGTCTCTTTTGACAGGCAAAATGTGTCGGCAAAGAATGATTTGGTAAAGCATTAAGGATCTTTGCAGTAGAAGCACTTGCAGGGGGGAACTGCGTGACAAACTGAAATGCTGAAACATACTGGGTTATTTTTACTGAAGTGTTTTGCTGATGTTTGTTCTAAGCTAGATCGCTTTGGTGGTTGTTTATGGTGTCATACTGGGGAAACACACTGCAGCACAGGGATGGGAATGAGCAACTGTGCGTGGGAACCTCTTAAGACACATCTCCATCACAGAAACTGTTGTGAAATGGGAAAAATAAAGCAGTTTTTACGAAGATAGCCCAAGGCAGACAGAGAGTAGGATGATGGGACAATGGGGTGTAGTTAAGGTGTGTGCAAGAGGTGGTATATACATACGCATGCTGCAACAGAACGTGATCTATTCAGTAAACACACAAATCCTGCCTGAAACACCAATGTCTCAGGACATATGTTATGGAGGTTTTGACAGTAATGCCAGCTTCAGGAGTACTTGCTCTTGGCTGCTTCTTCCTTCGCCTTTACTGTAGCTCACCATTTTCTTCAGCTGTGCTGACATAACTTGAGCAGGCTGCATCATGAACAAAGTCAAGGAACTAATCCATGTTTTTAAAAAGGTTAATTTGAATAAGTTTGGGAATGGGTCACAAGGGAGTGCTGGGGGCACAGTGGTGAAAGAGAGAATGGGAGATGCCTAATGTTAGTACTGTCAGTGAAATCCTGTGTTGTATAATGGGAAAAACTGACTTGCTGTAAAATCTGCTGTGACACAATGAAGAGCAAATATGAAATTGTGATTATATCCTAAAGTGTAGCCAGAATAAATAGTAGAATTCTACTTTCTTATCATGAACATCAGAAGCTGTGTATTACTCTGACCTTTCTGCAGGCTGGGATTTGTGGTCTGTATTTCTCATCCTGCAAATACTGAAGAGAATATAAATTTGCCTTAGTTGATTAAGCCTTTGTTTAGCTGTATCTCTGTATGCCTGTGTCTCAGATTTTCTGCATCTGACAGTTTGAAGAGGTGTGAGGCTTAAAACTTCCACTTTATTTATTGACTTTCTAACTTCATAATCAGTTGAAGTTAGCATCAAACAAAAATTTTAAGTGTCTCTAGGTGAGAGAAGAGGGAATGGGGAGCATATATGTAAGGGAAGGCCACAAGCAAATGCTGCTCATTTCAAAGTAGAACAGAATTTTCTATTCCTCTGCATCCGTTTCCAAATAAGTGATTCCCATATAACCTCTGTCAGGAGGAGGATGCAGAATACAGAGGCAGAGTTGCTCAGCTGTCAGCTGATAGAACAGCCCTGGTATTGGCACAGAGAGCAGTGCAGCCCAATTACCTTGGACTGGAGGAGAGGTCAGTTCCATAGAGAAAGTCGAGCAATGCATTTTTAATTTTTCATTTTGGTACATGTTTATATTGCACTGTGCACTTTATTTCCACCTCCCCGCCCTCCCTTTTTTTAATGGATACAGCATACAACTATAATACATTTGAATCATTTTGTATTACTTTGGTCCCATCTGAAATTATACTTGCTTTCATTTTATTCAGTGCTTCTGTGGCACAATTTTTTGTAAAGTCAGATTTATCAAGCTTCCACATATGCATTGGGGATTAACAGGATGGGCAATTTCCATAAAACACATTTCTAAACACATTTTATAAATTCAGTTTCAGTGTCATAATGAAGTTGCTTAGGCTCTTGACAAATGACAGAGCAGTTTTTAAGTGTTTCTTATGCTGCAGTGCTTGACGTAAACAGAAGCAGCTTATGTAAAACCCTGACATTTAATGTAGCTTTACTTCTCCAATTCATATGAAATTAATAAATTAGACAAAGAATTCAGTTGGTCCTGCGTGTGAAAATGAGTTCATTTGTGGTGTTGCCACTCAGTCAGTGTTCTGTATATATAAGCATATTTCTTGGTTTTGTCAGAACTGGTGACCTAATTGTTACATGACTGTTAAATGATATTGATGTTGATACCCCTGTCAGGAAGAGGTGTTCAACTAAATGTGACCAGAGGGAGTTAGGTGAGGTAGGGTTTTTTTGTCTTAATGTTATTCCAATTTCTTTTTTTTCCAAATTTTATATATAAATTAAAAATTAAAGTTGAGAAGTAATTTAAGAGATGTCCATGGCTTTAAAGTCATTACATAATGAGGGTTATTTTAAAACTCAGTGTCATAGATCATAAAATAGAACTAGCCATAGGTAAAAGTAGAATTAGAGAGACTTAGTGAGATTAGCATCTTCGTTGCCTATCTAATTTTGAAAATGAGACTTAGTAGTGTGATGCAAATTTTTGCCCCCTTTGTCATCTTTAGAATTCAATATACTGATTTTTAGAATATTTGTGTTTTGTTTAGGAAGCTCCCATATATAAATATGTATATTTATGTATGTTACAGTGTTTTAAAACAATCATTTTATGAAATGATTGATTATAGCAAAAGGAGTTACAGATAGTGTTTATTCTGTAGCTGTTTGGGTTCATTAATTCAAAAGGAGCAGTTAGACCGTGTTTTCTGTGACCTCATTTTATATGAGCAATCAACCAATCCATTTGTGCTCGTTCTCACAATTGCGAGCGTTGCATACAATGACCGGAAACTTTAGCCATTTAATAAAATTACTGCTTCAGAACGTGCCTTACTGAGCTGGGAGAGAGGGGAAGGAGAGTAGCTGGAAAGTGTGTATTTGGATAACATGCTTAATATGACCAAAAGTGTTCTTTTAATCCTCCTCTTATATCACTGTTTCTGCATGTTAAGATTCATACCACGGATGACTTCTAGGAGTGCCTTTTGTAGAGCAAAGTCTGAGTTTTCATGAAATCAGTGTCTGTATAGTGGTCTCTTTGCAAAAGCAGCATCATGTTTATGTTCCTCAGAGATGATCCCCAAAGCTGTTAGAATGCACTAAGGATCTCATGCACGCATCCACGTCCCACTGCGTGTGGGCAACCTTTTCCAGTACGTGGTCTGCAAGAGCTAGTTTGCTGTGTGTGCGATAGATGGCACTAAGGGGAGCTGGTGCCCTCATAAAGAGAGGCATCAGCTAAGCTAATGGAGTAGCCAGTGCCAGATGAGTTGGGTCAGAGGAAGGGTTTGGTGCTCTTGGAAGAGAGGCAGTAATTGGATCCAACAACAGTTCACCAGTCGTGCTCTGAAAGGGCAGAGCTGAGACAGAAGAGGGCTTAAATGTCTTGTCTGTATGTTTCTTTCCTCAGTCTGATTCTGTTGGTATGGAAACTTGGACGCTTGCTGCAGGGCTTAAGAAAGCCTCGTTGGGAAACGCAGCAGTCCACAATGTCTTGCAGAACAACCTAAAGGAGGAGAGTGAGGCTGTGCTTTGGGGCGTAGATCTTAATAAGGATATATGTATCTTTTCAATACAGTTATCTAGCACTTCATTAGTTGTGGTTTACCTGCAGGACAGTTAAGATTGCTGGAACAAAGCATGAAGCTAACCTTGAAATTGTACCAGGTGGATGTATTTTGATTTCCTGATATTCTCGGGCTGTTTTTATGGAGGGCCCAGTGAAGTGCCACATGGCGTAGAGGTCTGTAGCTGCCCTAAGTAAGGGAAGCTCCTACCAGGAGAGGGAGAATTGTTTTTTCTGCAGTTCCTGACCAGTGAGGAGAATGACAAAAGAGGAGGCAAAAAGATGGAAAAGCCTAAGGAGCAACAGAAAGAAAACGCCCTTCCAGAAGGACAGCATTTCTATCACACGACAATTGAAAGGAACTTGGTAGCGTGTGATGCTTTGATTTGCAACATTTGCATCCGTTTGTAAGAAGCTGTTGAGGACTCTGTTTTCCATGGGAGATTCAGGGTCAGTTGTACTAGGGCCTCACAATATAGCTCCTGTAGTAGTAGTACAGATAAATATCTCAGACAAACATCTCCTCCTCAGTTATTCCATTGGCATTCAACAGCCAACCAGCTAGCACCACTACTGTTTGGGAATGAGAATAAAAACCCAAACAGCACTTTCTTCTGTGCATGTTGCAGAAGGGGAAAGGTGGCAATGGAGGATGCATATCGCATTGTACCAGCTGCTCCTGCTTGAGATCTCCTTCACACTCCGTATCAATTAGAGGGGAGAATGATTTTTTCTTTTTTTCCCCCCACCATTTTGATTCAGCTATTGAACCTATAGAATACTGGCAGCTGGAATATTGTTGGATATTGCTATACCAAGCTAGAAAAATACTACCTCCTATCTGCAAACATTTTCTGCTTTTTAAGTGTAAGACTACAAGGTGATGTTACATCACTCAATGAATCTGAATAGTTCAAAAGTTTGCAGTATATTTTTATGTGCTTATTTGCTGTCCTTGTAGCTATATGGGGGTTTTAATAAAGACTGTGTGTAAGATTGCATAATCCCACCTGTGATGGCTGCTTGAGTCTTCATTTCCTTACATAAAGGAAAGCAATAGCTTTACTAAGGCCTCAATGTTTTCCAATAGGAGCAATCCCTGTAACATTAATGTAATTTTGAGGATTCGTTGCTGTTACAGCATGGGTATATGTATACTTGTGAATATGCCATGCTTTGAAAGCCAATTAAATTATTATGTTGCTATGCAGTATATTTTCTTATTTTAGAACGTAAGTTCTAAAAATGAAATACTGAATGTTCCTTGAGTCTGTACATGTAAATAACTAGTTCAGGCAGTTTTGGAAAGTTTTAAAATACTTTAATAAGAATCAGGTACCCAAATGGTAACTTCCTCGTGAGTTATTACAATCCATTAGTGACATTAGGTAACATTACAATCCATTAGGTTTTAAAATCGAGATCAGTTAGTGAATTGTCAGGTATTTGGCTTCTGTAAGCTTGATGTCAAATGTAATACTATGTAAAATAAAATGAAAAATAAAATATGAAAATGAAAAATGATTTTATTGTATCAGAAATGATTTTCTTTGGGTTTTCTTTCCAGGCTGATAAGTGAAGAGCTGCCAGAAGTTCCTGTGCTTTACAGAGATGTCTCATCCCTTTTGCTTATCCAGATTTTAACCATGCCTCAACCATTGCACAAAGGTATGTTACAAAAATATGTGTATTTAGATGATTATGTATATGAGGTTGCACTCATGGTGATTTCCAGGATGGTAAATCGTAGTTGGTATACTGTGTATTCTAAAATAACATTTCTGCCTTATCTACAGGAGGTGGCATTGAACAGAAATTTTTGTTGTGGGTTGACAGGCTTATCTGTGTCCCCTGTCTTTTCACCTTATCAGTCAGCCTATTCAGTAAAGATACAAGACTGAGCAAAAACTATTAAGTACTTCTACTGAAGGAAGAGTGTCTTTTGTTTGACCTTCATCTCTCTGCTTAGAGGAGCAGCTCAATACTTCACGTTGAACTGAGTGCCTAAGGGTGAAAGATTGTAATTTAGTTTGAATTTCGGAGTTTAGATTGCAGCAGTCTTACATGATAGGAGGTCATTTATGGAGGTGATAATTGCTGTAATGCAGCAACTTCAGTAGAGACAGCATATAGTATAATTTGGAATAAATATTAAATAGATATTTAAGAACTAAATTTTTCATTACTACAATCAAAACTGGTTTGAAACCTAAATTTCTTTTTTTGTATAAAAGGAACAGCTGAACCTGGTCCATCTTGCTGATAAACAGTGCATGCCCCAGAAGATGGGTAGTTCAGACCCTCTGGTCTCTGGCTTGATTATTTGTAGCTATACCTTTATTATAAAATGAGAACAAACAAACAAATATCTTTTTACTACTTCACTGACAATGAACAGAGTATCTGCTTCGGGGTCTGTGTGGAAATTTTGATATCTACTGAGTTTTGGTAGTTTGTGAATAGGTAAATACAGGGACTGCTCTGCTCTTGATGCACACACTTAACTTACGAAGTATAGGAGAGACTCTTGTTTCCCCTGAAGAGGTGGGTGTTCAGTTCCCCCTATTGAACGCTCAAATTAAGCTCAAGTGACTGTGTGTATCTGTAAACATTGTGGGTTGTGTTTTTTCGATTCAATGTACATGTTCATGGATTAAGTATGTCCAATTAACTATTAGAATACGAAAATAACCGGGAGAATAAAATATTTTTTAATAGGAAGCCTATTGTCCAAAATATACCTTTTTTTTTTTTTTAACTAGAGTTTAAATTAAATTGACTTTTATTGGAAGGGCTTAATAAAAGCAGTAAACAAAAGTTTAATGAGACTTAACGTCTTCTGAAATACGGGGAAGGGAGTGGTGAAGCCAAAGTACAAACAGTGGTCTTTTTGTAGTTTATATTTAAGCATTGAAAAACACCATTTATGAAAGTATACCTTTTCCTAGGAAAGACAACATTCAATTAATAGCAAGGCATCCTGTGGAGAATTCTGTAAAATACCACGTATCAGCAGCCCATTTTGCCTTTGCTCTTAGGTTTAGCCTATGTTGCAGTTGAAAGGGAAATGGCAAGTGGCAGGAAGAAGATGAATGTAACCACTTCAAATCTATGAAGCATTAAATTGGAAGTAAATTGTCATTTATCTTTAATTTTTGTTTCATCAAAATACTTAGGCAGAATAAAAGGAAAGTTCTGTGATTTCTTTGTTATGAGGTGTAGAATGCAATTCAGAAAAATAGGTAGTAACAAATTTGTTTAGAACTTTTGTAGTGGGTATGTAGGTCACAGAGTTGAATTTGATATTGTTAGTTCTTGGTAGAGAGCTGAGGCATGAAAAGGTAAAATGGCTTGTGCAGGGTCACCTGGCAGGTTAGTAATAGGGGTGAACAAAATCTACATTTGACCCTACTGCTTCCTGAACTCCCTGCGCTGCTTTGGCGTGATTGTGGGGTGCAGGAGCTGTGGACTTGGCTGGACACCAGTATGCAGACAGAAGGTTGATGCCTGTGTGCACTGACAGATATTTCCAGTATATGCCTTTAAAAATAGAGTTAACTACATTGCAGAAGAGGTGGTGTTGCGGTCTGGTACAGAATGCCATGGTAATGGTGCTAGAACACTAATAATGAAGGAAGAATCTGTAGGGTTTAGAATCCATGAAAGATTTTCTTCCTTTTTTTAGCATGGACGCTCTCCTGTAATGGTACTGGTTTTGCAGTATCATTTATTAGATATGTTGATGTATTCAGAGAAACCATATTTGTATCCTTACAAGAAACTAGGACTGTTCATCAAGTATTAAATCTGCCTCATGTTCGTACTCAAAATCCTTTTTGTTTACACAGTTTTTTAAAAACAGAGTGCTCTGTAAGAAGGACCCAAACTTCATCTCTTGCCCTTCAGATGTAGCACTAGGAATTGCATTAATTACCCTATTAACTGTTGGATGAGTGTTGGTATCTTTTTCAATCCAACATCGATTAAAGCAATACAAACGTCATTACTGTTCAGCCTCTTCATTCAGAGAGGAAAATTGATCTGAACACATCACAAAGAAAGAAGAACACTACAAACAAAACCTTTTTTTTCACGAGAGAAACTTTGTGGTGAAGGTCAGAGCATTTACAAGCACTTACCAATTTACAAAGAAGGGAATGAGGAAGATAATGTGTACCTCCTGTGTAGTGTAACCAGCAAAATAAATAATGTGTTCAAGATACTGAAACCATTTGTGAATTTTTTTGTTTGTTTGACACTAGAACATGGACAGAGCTTTTATAGGCTTCATATGCTCAGCAGTTTGAAATTGTGCAAGACTAAATACATAATAATCCACATAGGCATTTCTGGTTTAATTCTGTGGCAGTTGTGCGGAGGGTGGACAGCGTTCATGGTGTTGTGAATTGGGACTCTGTAGAAAATGAGGGGTTTGTTTCTAGAACGTGTAGCTCCTTTCTTACAGAAATAGAAAATGGCGTTGCATAGGAAGAAAGGTAACACAGAAATGGAGACAGTGGCTCAGTGGTTAAAAAACTTAAACCTGTCTTTGTAAATTGAGTTCAACACCCCTCACCACCCCTTTCTGCAACGCAATTTCTATATGCTGAACAAGTCATTTAATTCAAATCACACATTCTTCTTTGTTACCGTCTATTGTAAAAAACTTTATTTTCCCAGTACCTGACTTGGGACCCCCATAGCCAGATTTCTAGAAGCAGAGTGTCCTCATAGTTTCCAGTGATTTCAGTTTCTGCTTTGCGTTGAATGTAAAGAATATCATACTGTTGCAAAGTATTTAAAAAACGGGGTCTGGGTGAGCAGGGGTGAGCCTGAGGCTAGTAGGTGCACAGAATTGGTGGTCAGCTGGCCAGCGGCGGCCTGGCACTGTGCTTGGTGCCACACATGCAAGGAGGGTCATGCAGCAGCACGGGTGTTTGCCAGCATGCTGTTACACAGCCTGGCGGTGCTCTAACATAGGCCACAGTGCCACTTGTACGAGATCCGTGATTTGGGAGTGGGAGATGTGCTCCAACTTGAAAGCTGGTTTTGAGAGTTTAGCCCAGCCTCTGTGGACTGTGGGAAGGGTTTTCTCCTCTGGGGTGTAACACCTAAATTCAGCCACTTTTTTTGCAATTCTGATAAGGCCCAGATGCTGAAGAATCTGATCTGGATGTTCTGACACATTCTTTTTCTATAAAGTTTCAATGATATGCAACAAAAATACAGCAAGCAGCACTCAGGTGAACACTAGCACTTTCATAATTGGATAAGGATCTTGACTAAATATAGAAGAATGTAATCAACTTGAAGAATATCCAGTTTCAGTGTGGAAGCTGAAATATTTATCTTTCAATATACCTTCCATGGATTATCTGAAGTTCCGTGCTGTCTCCCCTTATTCTGAAGTTATTTTTTAAAAAAATCTATTGAAGCTTTAGATTGAGAAGAATATTTTCAAAGGTTATTTATATCAAGATGCCCTTGCAAATTCACTAATAAAGGTCCTAGGTCCTTAATTTTGCATTTGGTTCACTTTGTGGATTCTTTCTGCAGTCATTGCCTGCCAGCGTATATCATCTAATTTGGTATTGAAATTAAAAGATGCATATCGTTAGTAATAAACTTATTCATCTACACATTTCTTTCACCAATGTTAAAAATAGAGTTCTAGAAGTGTTTCCTGTATAAACTTTATTTTTAAGGGGGTTTGTTTAATACATATAATGGGATGGGATGCTGTGAAGTAATTTGGTTCCAAAAAGTTTTGTTTAAAAAAGTTTTAGAAATAGGAACATAAAAGCATTTCTCAATATTACTAAAAAATAAGTAGAAAAATTCTGCATTAACGTCTGTTTTGATTATAAAGGCCTAGCCATAATGATATAACTTTCAGACTGTCAGAATATCAGATTAGGTTTTTTATGTACAAACACAGAAGTCCTAACTGCATATTAGTGCAGAATGTTGCAGGGTATATCATCTGCAGCGGAAGGGACTGACAGCATTTACATAGTTACTCCAGAGCGTACAAATATACTAGCAATCTTTAGAATTGCTAAATCGAAAAGGTGATATAGCAAAACCACAGCCTCCACCAGGGGGGCAGCAGGAAAATGCCACACAGGCCCTACACCTGCATTGCAGAAAGGCAAATAAAATCGCTCTTTGCAGTAGACAAGAATGTAACACCTCTAGCGTTATGGATAACTACGGCCATCACATATTTTTGCATTTTACAAATAAGAGAACACATACTAATGAAATGATAATTGATCCTCTGACTGGTGTTTTTAGTATGTCTCCCATGGGATGTTTTTGTGACTATGAAATACTTGTTTTCAAAGCCTTGGCACTCATTACACAGCATGCTGCTGCTGAACTGCTCCTGTGATTTTTTTTTTTAAAAAAAAAAAAAAAAAAAAAAAAAGCCTGAAAGGACTTCTTAAGGGTGACCCAGATGTGGGAGTGTGTGTTTTTTGTCCAATTCTGGATTCTCCAAAAATGTAATTCATAGTCATTTATGAGTCACATACATGTAAGAAAATACAAGAACATTAGTTTATTTTTAAAAACCATAATATATGCTAGATATAGTATTTCTGGTGAATTGAACAATTAGTATTAGGGTGGGGATAGAGACAAGGAGTAATTAGATTTAACAAAAAACAGATTTTAAAAAATTTAATAGTTCTAGAGGGTGCTGAGATGCCCAGCGTTGAGCACTGTGTAATCACCTGAGCAGAATGCAATGAGAACTAGAAGATGAAGCGGGCTATGGCAGATTGGTGAATGTTGACCAGCAGTCTCGTTCTGCTGGTGTAAGTGCGGTGGTTTTCATTCATGCTTTCACAGTGTAAAATTGATCTCTCTTGCTTGTACCTGCTATTGATGGAGAGAGAGCTCAGTACTTGACTTCAGTTCTAGCTACAATTATAGACTGTAGCTCAGGCCGAAGAGGCAATTTTTACAATGCTCTGGGTGCATGTGGTTCAATCTTGTAGATCTCAGTCCCAGAACATTTACTGAAAGCTTGCCTGCTATTATTCCTCAGGAAGAGGATTGCTAAGAAAATTGAGGTTTCAGCAGAGGGAAAAAAAGTAGGGCCTAGAGGGATCTGGTGAATTCTCCTTCTGGGTGAAATGATTATAATGCTACCTGGGCAGATGAAGTACAGCAGCGTTTGTTGTCAGGTTTAACATAAGCTCCATAGGAAGGTAATACAGAAAAAAGTATGCTTGTAATTACATAGTTATCATTTAGGTGCTTAAATTGTGCTTATTGTATATACTCAGTGACATTAAAAAGTTTCAAAATCCATGTCTGCTGATTTGTAAACATTTGTTACATGAAAAAAGCAATTGTTATTTCACAAATTTAATGATGTACTCAGTCCTGGCTGTGTTTGTTTTAGAACCCAGTGGTGGGTTTTGATGTTAGATACAAGAAAGGAGAAGCAAGGAGTTTTATCTCCCTTACCTCCTTTTCATTTTCACATACAAAGCTTGTTTAAATCCTTTGGGAAGAAAGAATGAATTTAACCTAGTTTTTGTGAGGGGCTTATGTAAATAAAATTGTTTTGCTTGACTTCAAAGCCTGAGAGGACTTTTTAAAACCCTCATTTTTGTATATGTTGTTTTAGATATATATTATAGTTATGTTTGTGCTTAAGGAATGATGTAAGTGATGACAGAAATGTCTTTGATCTGTCTAGATTTAGAAAAAAATCAGATTATTTGGGATGGGAAATACAACCTAAAGTAAAAAGAGAAAAAAGGACTGCTATCATATCTTCATTTCAGAGAATGATCATATTCACCTTTTTTCCTGTTCCAATTTTAGGAAGTCTTATTTTGCCTCTGTTGCTAGCTTCCCCAAAAAGATTTCAAAGCCTTTCTCCTGCAGTCTATATGTAGGAGATAATAGCTCTTTAAATATTATGAAAAATTGTAAACAAACAAAGATCTTTAAAAAGAAGGTAAGGTCTAAAAGGACAGTCTGTCTTTTGTCCTCCTTCTGTATTCACATGAGGTCCACTAAATAGGTACTCGCTGAAGAGTGATTTGCAGCAAGTCTTGTATGGCTGGATCCATATCTGGAAGTGAAGGGATAGAAACTGATGTATGCTAAATGTCCTTCTTGCAGTGATTTCTCTGGGAACTTAACTTTTCCAGTATTTGTATGAATGTAACGTACCCCAGATGGTTTAATCGTTGCTGGAAGAGATGGTAGGATATGCATTTGCTTACATCTACATCACCCAATTAGTTGTAGCTATCAGTAATCAGTAGCTTAACTTGATGTAACCTTTTGACAAAACAGAATATTGTAGTATCACCAGGTCCCTAGGAGGAAGTCACTGCTGATCAGGATGAAGATGAACATATGGAGGAGTGGGAAATTACTTGCCCTGTACTTGTGCCGTTCACTATGGCTGCCAAATTATTTTTGAAAGCCACTGAATATATTTATGTTGTTTTGTATGTTTTGGAGGTTTGTACTTTTTGTATAGTGCTTGCTTTTCATTTGAGAAGCATCATTTGCACAATTAGAGACTTAATTATGTAATCAGTGTATTTGCTAAAAACATCAAGTGTTTAAAAATGAATCTCTTTCTTTTACAGAACACTTCACCTGCATTGTAAAAGTGCTGTTCACTTTATTGTATACTCAAGCCTTGGCAGCACTTTCTGTTAAATGCAGTGCTGAAGATAGGATGGCATGGCAAGAGTCAGGAGCTCTCAAAAAGGTTGGTTAATTTATTAAAGCATTTATGAAGTTTTGCTTACATATTTCTGGTAGGAATGTAACAGATACTTCTGCTTTGCATATAATAATTTGCTTCTGCTTCACAAAAATCCAGTATTTTGTTTCTGCGTGTGCGATTTTTGCAGGTTTTGGTATGTGATGAGACTTAAAAGCTTCATAATTAATATCTAGTTCCAGAACTAAATTTCAGATTTGAGGCTGTATCTCTATAGTTTCAGTCTTGAGTTTGTTGCAGTGGTATTGAGTAAATGCAGCTTTTCTCCCTGTGAAATTGAAGCCTTGCTACGTAAACCATGGGTTGATCTGATGCACTCCTTTATGAGAAAAAGCAAGCTTGTTGCTGGGGAAAAAACCTCCATCTTTTTCTTACTTGTTCATGCTACTTGCGGCTAGCCATATAAATTTCTCTCAATATGTGGTCTAGAGTGCTCATGTGATGAAGAGGCAGAGAAGGAAATTTGTGGACTAGGCAGGTAGATATTTCATTATCGTTTCGATGCCTTGTGATAGTATTTACAAGTAAAGTGAAGGTGCATCTTGCTGTTTCAGTTCCACTGATTGAATGCCAGTTCCCACCAAAAGACACAATTCCCTGCACTGGCACTGGCATTCATTTAATCCTTCGCTAAATTTTGTGCTCCGTGGATTGATTCTCCAGAAGGTCGGAAGAGTGCCAGTGCCAGACCAAGGGAAAGGATGCAAGTGTTGGGGCCAGGAGAGGAAATGGGAGCAGGAATACCCCTTTATACAGCAGCTGGGCCTTAGATTATGTTGGCTGCAAAATGAAATGCACACTGAGAAGCATGACCTGCTTTTCACATATAAGTTAGATTTGTCATAGTGGTCAGTCACAGCTCCAAGGTAGTAAAGACAAATTATCTGCTGGCCAAACTACTACTGTGCAAGATTTTTTTTTTTTTTCTTTTTCCTGGACTTGCATTAAGCATTTGAGATCACTGGGCAGTACTGCATTTTGTTAGCTCCCTCTCCACCCCCTTCTTTCAATATATTGCGATTTTCTTAGAATTTCAAGAACATTTGCTTGAGATTGTTGCTGATGAGAGTTTTTTCCCATTTTTCTGTTTACTTAAGTGATTCCCAAGTGATAGATAATATCACAGTTTAAAGTTTGTGGTAGAAAGCATATAAATAGAATAAAGTGTTACCAGCTTATATTCTTTCATAGTCCGTATGATAAACATGGACTGCCTTTTTATTAGTAGCAGAGGTTGGTATTTATCTGTACATATATTTACAATGTTTAATTTTCTGTCTGCATTGAGAGATTTTGCTGTATGAAGATAGACTTAGGGCATGTGGTAGGTGGGCTTGCTACCTATTAGTACTAAGGTGTTTTCTTGTAGAAGCATGTGAAAGCATTTGCTTCGCATAAAGCACTTTGTACTTCAGGCTTGCAAATTATGATAATAGCTTAGATAATGGATTTATGAAGAAGCCATCTCTCCTGATATTAAAGACAGTCCATTTTAGTGGAATTTTCACGAGTGTGCTTGTCATTCATGGATGAAAAGGCTGAGTGCACATTAGCACATAAGCCCCTCACATTAGTAGCACATTAAACAGTATGTTACTGTGAATGGATGTTGTGATTTAGTGTAATTCAAATAACACAGCAGGTTAACTTCAGTTTGAGAATTTTGACTTTTCTCCTGTAAGAAGCCCATTGAAGGCTGACAGTTTTCCAAGTGGGAGAGCAAAAGAGGTAGGGGGTAGATACGAACACTGCTCCAGGCTGCGTATGTGCTGTACTGACAGCATCTCTTACTCTGCCTTGAAAACCGTCCTCCTTCCTCTTGTCTGTCTCATGTAGATCATCTATGTACAAAGGTCCAACTTCTGACAGCGGCTTGGCCGTATGTGCTTAGGGTGATCTCTGCACGATCCTCAGGCCTTCAGGGACTCCTGCACTTAATTCTTTCTTGGCTTCCATCCCACCCCAGTGATAATCCACGCCAAGTGCAGAGCCTTTGCAAAAGCCCCACATGCAAGTTTGCCTGTCCCTAGATGTCTTTCCAGCTTCCTGCTCCTCCTGCACAGTGTTGCTGTCTGGACCCTACGTGTGTGCAAGGGACCTCTGAGCACTGAGGACCGGCCAGCGGTAATCGCACAACTCCCTGTTGCTTTCTTGCAGCCCTTCTCTTCTTGAGCCTAGTCATAGTCCTCAGATGAGTTCTTTCTCTTTGTATGTCACGAGGGAAGCTGGTTTTTAGTTTAGGAGTCCAAGTTCTTTCTTTAAAGTTTCTTGAGGCCCAAATGGTTTAAAATGTGTGGTTTAAGCTGGCTTTTTCTTATGTGCTGGTAATACTGCCATTTTGATCCCAGGATGACTACACAGATAGCACCTTAACTTTTGTCTGTGGATAATGCCACGTGAATCCATTTCAGTTTGGTATTCCAGACATTAGATGTGAGCTGAAGTCTTTCCTCTCTATTCATGCTGAATGATCAAGCAACATTAAGAGTTTAATTTCTCAGCAGGGCTGAGAGGTGGATATTCTACTTTTGATTCCCAACTTCACTCTCATTATCTTTGCAAGGTGCCGTGTGGTGTCATAAGAAGCACACTGTAAATGCCTGTGGAGTAAACTTCCAGGAATAATGTAGACGAAAGGTTTGTCCTAGCTGCTGATGTAAATATGTGCTGCCTTCTGGTTCTTAGACTATGAGCATAAACAGCAAGTCTGCCTTTCCAGTGCTGAATGGTGAAAACCCCATCTAAAATTACCAATTATAATTGATGTCAAAATGCACTAAAGAAACCAACTGATGAATTATATACATTGTTATGTACCGAAGTCTTTATATATTTAATCTCACCTAGTTGCTTTGGATTTTTTTTTAAAGAATCCTAGTAACGTTCCACCCCCTCATTGTTTGTTATGTTGATCATACACTAACAGAGCTCAAAATTCAGATCCAGTCATGTTTTTCCTGGGTAGAATTTATTATGACTTAGAAGAAAAATATTTATGTGAATACTGCTTTCTATTTCTGATGGCCTTCTGTAATTGTTGCCTTTAAATGTAAATGCTATGGCACAAAGCTAAGTGGCTATTTATTCTTTCCACTAAATATTTTTTTCCTATCTGTAGTAGGTATTGTTCATTCCAAACACAACTTTCCATTTTCTGTTAGACTCATTTCAACTTAAAATACACAGCAAGTGTTTTGTAACTCATTCTGGTTGGTACATTTTAGAAAGTTACTATTTTTTTTTTTGTTAAATTAGTTGTATTAGAATTCAAATGCTGTCAAAACATGATATATCCATAAAGTGATTCTTCCTAATTTTAAAGTAAGCATTTTTATACTCACAGAAAAAACACGGGAAATGCAACATTATAAAAGTGTTTTCATATAACAGTTTAGAACATATGTAATTGAAGTAGCAATTCACACTTCACTCTGTGAGCTAAATGCATTCCCTTTCTGCAGAATTTCTTTTTTTTTTTTTTTTTTTTAAAACAATGTCAAAATTCATGTGTTGATCAAAAGGAAATGCACTTCATTGCTGTTATTTTTACAGGAAATTTTCTCCTCATGACCAGTGCATTTTGGATTTCTTTCCTTCTTATTTGCAGAATACATCCAGTGGAGAAAAATCTTGGGAAGTATTGCTGGGTCATGTGATTAGTGAGCTGTCTAAGGGGAAGATATATGAAGAAGAGGAGGCTGAAGAATTAACAGTGGTATTGGCAAATCTCTTGAGAATTTATCCAGCATGTCCCCTTTCTGTCTCTTATTTAAGTTTTTCAGCCTCATTGTTGTAATGATTTTTCTCTGATCTTGCTAAAGACTGCAGTACAACTCTATTTTCTAGATCAAAGCACATCCCTTTGGGACAGTTTGCCTGTGCAAATCTTTCTTTTACTAGTATCATATATGGCCAGTGCTATGTTGAGGAAGTTATTGACAAATACTTCTTACAATTGTGGTTTTTAATCATGTGTATGAAAGACCTTTCAGAAACTTGGGAAACTGAATATTTAAGTAGAAAAAACATTTGTCAAGGGGGGAAAGAAAACCCACAGAGTTCTTTCAGATTATTAGTGAAATGCTGGCCTTTGGAATGTATTTGATGCAGTGGTTTATATAGTATGCTTAAAAAACATTTGGTTCATATTGGAGTTTCTTACATAGGAGACAACTTATCTGGGGCAGAATTTAGTAATTGCTTCCTTCCCCCGTAGGTAAATCCTGATTCTGTAGAGTGCTATCTGCAGCAGTTCTGCATGCCTTTCCTCAGGATCACAAGCCTTCTTCAACACCATCTTTTTGGAGGGGATTTACCTAGTTGCCAGGTACAGATTGAGAGGGGCACACTGAAATGTTTCCATTGATAAGCTGGGGATCAAAAATTAGACTTTTAAGGTGTCTTTTTCATCATATGTGTTGCCTATCCTAAGTTTTTGTTGTTTTTTTTTTTTTAGCATGTTTTATAGCATTGCTCTGCAGCATTGTTTGTCTTCTGTAAATTTGTTTTCAAGGCAGTTTCCCTGAAAAATGGTACTGTATTCTTAAAATTCAGCAAATACATGCTTATTTTATCAGGTCATAGATGCCTGTCTCATAAAATACCAACATACTTCTAAAACTTGTCTGGCATTTGCAGAGATGGTGTAATTTCCACATAGACTGGAATTCAGTCCTGATTTTGCTTAATGCCCGTTAATAGTTGGACTTTATTCTCAGAGACATTGCATCAACGGACAATTATGTTTAAGTTCCATGACTGATTTAAGTAGAGTTTGCTGCAGGACAGCTCCCTCATTTCCTTGCCTCAAAATCGTCTCGTCTCTAAACCAGCTATAAGCCAGTTTGGGGTGACAAACAAGAAAAAAATTAGTGAAGAGTTTGGGGTTTTCTTTTTTTTTGTTTGCAGTTTTTTGATTTGTGGTTTTGGGTGGGTTTGGGGTTGTGTTGTTTTTTTTTTTTTTTCCCCCCCAGGTCCATGACCTGTTTTCTTGTATCATGAGAATCCGTTTTGAGGTAATCTGGAAAAAATTGAAGTTTTTCTATGTCTCTGAGCATGACTATTAGCATCACTGTACTAGAACGTCTTTACTTTTTTCTATTGTAATAGATAAATTTTTAATAAACTATTTAAAAATTCAGAGTGTAGGTATTAATCTAAACTTCTCTGGTTTCATACCTAAAAGGAATATGAAGAATTCACAGTTCTTGCAAGCTGTTTGGGTCTATTACCATCTTTTCAGTCAGCTCATCAGTTCACCAGTGCCTCTTGTCTCGATTGGCCAGTGCCAGCGTTTGACATGATATCACAGTGGTGCTCGGAATTGGCTTCATTTGCAGATAGACATCCAGATCAAGTAAAGGTATGTAGCAAAATTACTTCTTCCAAAATAGTGCTGATGTGGAAGCCACTACTGATTGCGTGATTAGCTATGCACACGCACTATTGTTTTGAATAAGGATCTGAGAAACTGACTTGTAAATGAGAAAGAAATAGTGACAGAAATACTAGTTAGTGGATGTGGGTTGGATTGGTTAAAAACAGGAATAAGAAAACCTGTCCAGTTTTTTATATGATTGCTGGAGACAGAAAATAGAAACACTATGCTTAGATGATACTAAGTGTACACAGGTACACTTATCTTCTGCACCTGAAGCCTATCAAGGGCATGTAACAGAAACTTTGTCTTTTAAGAAAATACTTATCAGAAGTTTTTCTTGCCTGTTAGACATTATTGATATTTTTGAGCATCTTCAGTTGCAATACGGAAGAAGATCAAAAGATTAAAAGCTGTCTAATAGTTGACTGATAAAAGAGGATATGTCTTCTCTGATGGTTAAAGAAGCAATACCAGGACTTGAATCAGTGCAATTGGAATATCAATTGTGAAATGGAAACGTTTCAACATTATTGCATTGTTTTTATGAAGAAGCTGCATCTCAACAATTCAAGTTCCCCTCTCCTAAGTTTATGGTTTCAAAAAGGCAAGCCAGATGCATTCTTCTCTCTGCAACATGATCTGCACCTGCCTTTGCATGTTTGCAGGCATGAATTAGGCTATTGTGAGTGAAAATTTGAATACTCAGATTAATCTCAAAATACAGTTGCTGCCAGTCTGATAGGCATTTGAGAGAAATTGCAGTGAAACTGATAGTGTCCTTTCCATGATTGAAAAGGAACCAGGTACAAATGCAATTTTCCTCCTTTTTTTTTTTTTTTTTTTCCTTCCAAGTTAGGTTTTGAGGTCAAGCACTCTTCAAAAAATTTTACACCTTGCAAGAAATATCCCATCTGACCCTTATGCCCATCAAGTAAAATGAGTATGTTGAAGTAAAAATGAGTAGGTTGAAGGAAAACACGTTACTGTCTTAAAAGAAAAAAATCCAAACCCACAACAACCAACAAAAAACCACCATAAAATTGGACAGTGTTTTTAAGAGCAAAAGAGAAGACTTAGGTTTGAAACCAGTATTTAGGTGGTGCCTGACTTATCAAAAATTTGTGAGGACTGGTAAGTTCCTAATGGCATCAAAATTTGTGTGTGCAACAGTTTTGGACATCAGGCAGATGTCTTCAAATATCATTTACAGAGCCTAAGTTCAGTTCTGTTTTTGAAAGTTTTAGTCTAAATTTTAGCTAGGAAACAACTTTTGTAGTCAGTGCCAGGGTTTGGCAGCAGTGTGTTGGTGTTGCCAAAATAACTTAGGGTAGTGAGTGGGAGGCTTCCCTTTAGATCAGTCTTAATCCTCTTGTTTTAGCTATGACGTTTTTTGTGCTTAAAAAGCATCACATTTAGAAAATGTCCTTGGGAAAAGGCTAGCGCTCATTTAGCACCCATTACAAAAGATGAAATGTGACCACAGTTGGGGAGGGTGTTCAGCGAGAAGCAGATGACTATTGCAAGGTGACTTTTGACTTCTAAATTTGCGAAATGCAGAAGTAGTGAGAGATTTTTAAACTGCTGCTTCCTTTCTTTGGTATTCTCTTCTCTTGGAAAGTATAAATGCATAAATGAATGTGCAGAACTGATATATTGTTCTTATCTTATTCGTAGGCTTTGCTTATCCAGGAGCCTAAGTGGGACTTGCCACGCCTCCTTCAGTTGCCTGAGAATTATAATACCATTTTTCAGTATTATCACAGAAAGACTTGTACTGTTTGTACCAAGGTTCCTAAAGATCCTGCTGTTTGTCTAGTTTGTGGTACTTTTGTATGTTTGAAAGGACTATGCTGCAAACAACAGAGTTACTGTGAATGTGTACTGGTAAGAGAGAGTTAACTCAAATTCTGTAATTGATGCTCATGCTCATGGATAGTTTTTAACTCCATTGCTCAGTTTTGATGGTTTTCTTTCCAAAACGTGTTTTTTATAATCATAGAATCATAGAATAGTTTGGGTTGGAAGGTACCTTTAAAAGTCATCTAGTCCAACCCCCACTAATAATGTTTAGTGCTTATTTCTGATAGATGGACCTAGACTGGATCCTAGAGAGCGATTTTATTCACCTTTTTAAGCCCATAGCCTATTTCACCTATTTGAAAAACTGTTACAAAGCCATTGGGTGTAATGTTGACACATGGTTTTGATTCATAGCCAATTGAAATTTGTCTACATTCTGATTGTTCGTATATTATTTTAATTTTCCTCTGTTTTGTTTTCTGGCTTTCTGCATACATAAGAATGTCAGTGTATGGGTTGGGTTTTTTTTTCCTTTTATAGAGTACTTTCTGGTATACCTGACCATCTACTAGTGATCTACAGACTATAGCTAGATAAGCATCATTTTAAGGCCTTTGACTTTAATTCAGCAGCAAAGTTTTCTAGTCAGCATATATGTAAGATCTTTCAGGAACCTGAGTTGGACAGCATCTAGTATTGTTTTTCTGTCTACGATAAAGTTTTGCTTTGACAGCTGTTTCCTACCATAAAACAGTTAGTAGAAGGCTGCAACTACATGGGCTTTACAAACTATGAGGGGCATTTGTTGGAGAGATATTTACAAATAGGGCATAAAATCAAGCCCAAAGACATTTCAGAGGGATCTTGGACCTTTTTGAAATTGTTTGAACTCACCTTTCTCTCTCATACTGCTCATATGGTGGAAGAAGGAAGGGTGGGCAAAATTTAAACTAGAATTAACAGTTACATTTAAGGTGTCAAGCTTCATGAAAACACAAAGTTTAAAAAAAAAAAAAAACCCCACCCTAAAAATCTATACAGTTAATTACATTTTATTATAGTTGATGGGATTATAGCCTCTAATTGTAATAAAACTATATAGGAAGAACACGTTTTTTAATTGCTAAAATGAATTGATTAATACAGATCGTGCCATTTATAGAGATGAATGACATATTGAAGCAAGCAAGATTTACTAAAAAAATTTTTTTTACTAGATTTGTAGAGCCATAGACTAGACCTGTAAGCATGGATAGAGAAAGCAAATGTTTAGCAATAGAGACGATTGTAAAAGAGGTAATATTAAGTTTTTCTGAATACTTTTGCTTATTCTTGCCACCTAAAAAATATTTCATCATGCTATACAGTTTGCCATACAACAAGAAATTCAAAATATTGTAGAGAATATTTTTGCTCATTTTTGTTAGGTAGTTCTGTTTTTACATGATAACAAATATCCTCGCTTTTTGAGTAGGGAACCATTTTTGTATGCAGGTTGTTACTATGGCAGTTATATAGACAAAGTTCACGTTTGCTTGGAGAGTTTTGGGGCAGGCCATCCTTTGTCAAACTGTCTCAGTAAATAGTGTGTGTATGTTATTTCAAGCAAAACTAATTACTACTTTTGAAATCCTTTTTGTTAGAAAGTTGACAGACACTAACAGAATCTTTGCACTCTTCCCTTTCTACACCCATAATATTACAGCATTCTCAAAACTGTGGAGCTGGGACGGGAATATTTCTTTTGATTAATGCATCTGTAATCATCATCATACGAGGCCATCGTTTCTGCCTTTGGGGTTCTGTTTATCTAGATGCACATGGTGAAGAAGACAGAGATCTTAGGTAATGTTTTCATTACAAGTATATTCATTGTTGCTGTAGATCAACTTTATGTTACGCAATACATGCAATAACAGATAATAATAGATCTCTACCTTGAGTGGAAAATCCCCATTTACTCCAAGTTGGACTGACTTTTTTCTTCTTTTTTGGGGTGGTTTCTTTTGTTTGGTTGGCTGGTTTTGTTTTTGGGGGTTTTTTTGGCCCAAAGGTGGTGTAATCATGATCACTGAGTTACACATACCAGGCACCCAACAGACAGATTTCTATGTTGCCATTCCCAATGACGGTCAGTTCTGAGTGTTGTGTTGGGAAACGCTTCTCTCCCAAAGTTGTTGTTTGGCCTTAAATGATGCAGCTGGATTCCGGTGTAGGGAGGGGAGTGTAGCTTCCTGAAAGAACAAGAGATGTTTTCTGGATTCTGCTATCCAAGAGGGAGGAAGGGAAATCCCAGCAACTACCTTAATAAAAGCAAAACCAAAAGCCCCTCACCAATAAAAATGCACACTTCCCCTGGGAAAATAGTTGTATGATATCATGTGTTGATTACATAATGAAGCAGTTTTCCATTTATTTGGCATATTAACTTTTTTTTTTCTTTTCTTTTTCCCCCCCCTACAGGCGTGGTAAACCTCTCTACATATGCAAGGAAAGATACAAAGTGCTTGAGCAGCAGTGGGTGTCTCATACTTTTGATCATATCAATAAAAGATGGGGGCCACATTATAATGGCTTGTAAATCATCACCATCTACACACCATATCATTGCTGTTGCCATGAATGAATGCATCTTGACTGACAATAGCTTTAATTGTATGGGAGTTTAGCTCTTTGGCTCGGGGTGGAGTGGGATATGGGCATAAAAGGGAAATGGAACTTTGTCAACATGTGAAATCTTTTGCAAAATTAGCTGCTGTTGCTACTAAATAATGATACAATAATTTGCAATTAAACCCTCAGAATGGTGTGAGCAATCTGATTGCACTCAGTAGTCCATTTTTCTTTTGTTTTTTAAAGCCCATTATTGTTAAGAAGCACAAATTTTACTTACAGTTGTTTAGAGGCTCCAGGGATAGCTGTGAGGTTTTTATTTTTCTCTGCGTGGAGTTGAGTTTTTAGCAATTGTTGCTGAAACAGTGTATATGTCTACTGCATCTACTAAATGTGTTGGATAAAATTTCTTTGCCTTTTTTGTGTTGGTTTGAGGTTTTTGCTTGATACGCGTTTGTAATTAGACAGGATTTGTAAAACGATTGTGAGACTGCATGGTAGCAATTGGTCTGAAAGTTGAATTTTAAGGAGTATTTCACTTATCGTGAGAGGTCTATTGAAATATTTCAGGCATTACTGAAAACTTACGCATTCTCAGGAATTTCATAATTTTTTTTTTCTCCATAAATAAGTGAAATAGCTGTAAATTAGGTGTCTTATTGTTCTTAATGTAATCCAGAACACATATTCTTTTTTTTTTTTTTAATTTCTTTTCCAGAAAGGAGGTTTTTTTCCCATATTAGTTGAATAAACTGTTTGTGATAATACATACAGAAATTGCTGTATATAGAGAATCTGTATGGCGCCCAACATAGCAGATCCCAGTTACAAGCATAACCACCATAAGCCTGCCTGTCATTTCAAACCAGATGTATGCTTCAGAATGATTGGATTGGAAATGTGCAGGCTATTTTGCAAGTGAAACATAATTTTGTATCTTTCCTGTCATTTCAGGAGGTTCCTCTATATGGTAGTTGTTCAGAGTAACCGCTGTTCTTTCTGCTTGGTTTCCTAGAAAGGAAAAAAAAAAATCAACAGAGATAGCCTAGCTGAACAACCAATGCATGTGCAGCCTCATTGGATGAATGCCAAAACAGTTTATGCTTAGAAGGCTAAAAAATTTGTGAGAACAGGCATGACTGGGCTAAACCCCACAGTGTAAGTAGGTAGGAAAGGTTATAGTTAAAATACTGGTATGTAATATATTGCTACTAATGTTTTTCACAAGTGTTGGACATTTGTTGGCTATTTCATACATACTACCAAGCAGTTCCTGGTAGTTGTGACTTTCATAGCTTGTGTGTAAAATAAAATTTGTATGTGTAAAATAAAAACATCTTATGATAAAACCACATATACAATGAAAACAGTTCCCCAGTGGAAGTCATTATCTAGTGAAAAGTGTATAGGGGAAATAAAATGACTGTATAGCAATCAAGGAGAATGGACAGAAGGAAAAGTAAGTAAATACAATGAGGTTTTTCTGGATACCTGCAATTCAAAAACCCCCACAATAAAGGATGCTGGTTTTTATACATACATATAAATATATATATATTTCAAAAGTATTACAGTACTTCCTGTAAGATTAGAATTACTCTGTTTCACCAACTAAATGGCTCTGTCTTTTCCAAAATATTACTTTTTTGATACTGTATTATAAGTTCTGCCTGTAATATTTTTGCATTGCTCATTATGAATATCAGGCCATTTTCTAAGTGTGGTTAAAGAGCAAAAATATTCTTTACATCTCCAGCATAACATTATTACAGGGCTCATGAACTTGAGTAATCTGTAGTTTGAAGCTCCAATGCTATATTTACAAGAGATAATGTATCCAGAATTTGATTACTGTGTTTTATTTAAAATGGAATGTTCTCTGGTTGTGCATATGGATGTGAAGTAAAACTATTAGCCTTAACTTTAACATTTGGGTATTTCATAGTGTTTATTTTAGTACTGGTGAATTAGTCACCAGTCAATTTAAAAACAACAAAAAAAATCACTTGGTTGAAAAATTGTACTTGAATATTCTTGCATGCTGCTAAACAAGAATTTTGATTTCCCCCGTAACTTTTTTAATCCTACTTTATTAAGCTTACCTTGAAAAATAACAGGTCCAAACTAGAGTGGTGTGTGCGTGTATTACTCAAATGTTCTGGTGTGATATCCTGTATGAATGATCATTTAAGTACAGTACATTACTGTAGGATCTAAATCAATCTTTATAACACATCAGAAGAGTATAAAACTAGGAATACAGTAATCGACATTGTAAGATATGTTAATAAAAGTCTCCTGTCAATCTGTGTGTTTGTGAAATTTTTTCTCTCTACCCCAGTCATCCAAAATGTAGTTATTATTGAATTCCACCCAATAGCCAGGCAGTTATTTAAATATCAAAAGCTTATGCATGCGAAGTACTTTGCATAGAGAGTAAATCTGGTATGTTTTTTTCTTTTGTTACTTACACACAGTCATGTATTTTGTATTAGTAATTTGGATTATTTTATTTTACTCATAACTATACCACTTCAAGTTGTGCTTAATTTTATGCCAGCTATTACAGCGTTGCTGCTGCAAACTGCTAAAATTAAAATGCTGAGCTGAGAAACTGTACTTCTGGGAAAACCGTGCTTGATCTTCTCTTCTGTCAAATCTGTTTCTGGAATAACTATTATTTCGATTTGATGTATATATTTATGTATTAAATTTTTCCTTTTCTTTTGATCTTTGAGAAATTTGGTGAAACAGTTGTGTTTTGACCTTGACCATTAGATAATAGAGTCTTTTTTTAGTGGTGGCCTGAAATTTTCAATGAATATTTTCATCACCTCTGCAATAGAAATCTGGTGCAACTCTCGGCATTTCACAAGCAAATTACATTTTTCCTTTAAAAAGGGGGTCTTTTGCTACAGTATCCAATAAATGTTATTCTTTACTTCAGAATCCCATGAGATCAGTTTGTGCTCTGTGTACAGCTGCCAGAGGAGACAGTGAGTTTTGTGCTGATCTTGATATGATTTAGACCTAACTCTCATCTAACCCAGATTCTGCAGTCCTGCTTTTCACTTTCTTTTCTCAGAGGTGGGGGTAATGATGAATGGAGCCTTTCTGAGCATTAGCCTAGATAAGAATGAAATACAGTTTTCAAAGTAAGAAAGCCACAGGAATGAGCTGACCCAGCATACGGAGGCTCGTGGCTCGCAATTATCAACTGTGGGATATGAGGGAGCGCATGTAATCTGAGGGGGCTGGCTCTGTGTGACAATTCGTGTTGCGTGGATTGCTCGCTGCAGTCAGTGAGATCCATACTGCTGGTCTGAAGGCCGTGCTACGTGAATGCCTCCTTTTGGTAGGGCACAGTGCCCTGAGCACCTACTCTCATGTTTTCTCAGCTGGGCAGGTGTTTGCCTCCAAATGCTCTTACACTGAGAAGAGCCCCAGCTGCTGCAGGTTCAGCCTCATGACTTAACTTGCTGCTTCTGCCACTATAATGTCCTGTCACTGGGGTTGTAATCTTGCCTAGGTTGTACTAGCTATTAATTCCTGGAAGTAACTGTCCATAAGTAGGAAAAGCGTATTCTCAGTGAAGTCAAACACTTCATGAATTCTTAGCTGTGTAAATGGCCAGGGTGTTCTAATAAATTTTTAAAAATCCTTTTAATTGGTAGTTTTTTAAATTTTTTTTTTAATCACTGTATCATTTGTACTTTCTTACCACTAATACTATTCAGGAGATTTAATACCACATGCTTCAAATGTTGTGTTTCTTTGAAACACCAGGGAGAAAGCAAAATTGAATCTTGTTAAATAAATGATAGTTTTAAAAAGCTAAGCTTACTACCCTAAAATACAATTTTTGCAATGTATGGCTTTGCATGGTACAGGAAAATGTGAAACTCACTCTTTTGAAATGCATTTTAAATTTAGCTCTGAGTCCCAGTTAAAATGTCTCACAATGAGCTTTCACGAAAGTACCATTATTTGAAAAGCCATTTCCTGTAATTCTGTCACTTGATGCAGAGCAGGCTGGTCTCTTAATTCGTGAAAATGGGAGCTGGTTCCATGGAAACCCCTCACATCATTGAATGATTTACTACCCAATAAACAACTTACTACTCCTTTTGTCGTTATCCCTTATACATAGCACATGGATGGTAAACCTTACCATTTCTACTGAGTATGGAAACAAATGTTTTAAGGTCTGGAGCTAATTTTTTTTTTTTCCTTCCATTACCTGCTGTCATGGAGCAGGAATTTTCTGGAGGAAAACTGTTTTCTTCTAAAATCAAACTCCCTCAGTCAATTCCTATGCTGCCCATAATGTCTGTGTTATTTTAGCTACTGGAATTGCTTCCATCTCCTGTGCCTAATACATTTCCCATCATAGGACTGCTTTCAACTCATGACTACTAAACTTTTTAATAATTTTGACTGAAAACAATTATGCTGGGCTTATTGCTCATGGTTGGATTTTTAATTTTTTTTAATGTTGCAGCAAAAAAGCAAGATACCTTTCACAGATTAAAAATGGAAAAAGACCCAAATGTATTGTTTCCTTCATTTTAACAATAATTTTTCTAAGTGTTGGGCATATCTACTGTCTCCATGCTTTGGCCTTAAATGTGGTGAGCAAATGTGTATGGGTCCAATATTAAAGTAGAATGGAACTGCATACTGAGGCACTTACCAAATCAGAACAGCATGTTCTTGGGGATTACATGTAAGTACTGCCAAATACCTAAAGCAGATAATGAGCCTTTGTCTGTTTTTCAGGTGTCAAGGAATATCCTTTGCACCTGGCTCTTGAAGCCACTAATACAATTTGCTGTGAGAAGTGTTTTCCTTCTGTTCCTTTGAAAAGCTGGGGTGCTCTCCATGTAACGCAGCCATTTCTTTCATGCCTTTGTTGTCTCCATATTGGATATGCAACTGCCCTGTTTGTGTAGTATTCCACAACAAAAGAACCCTAAAACAGCTGGAGAGCTCCCTGCAACTATTTAACAACACTTCGCAAATAAGATTGCATTCTCTCAGAGTGCTTTATGCAGGCATAGCCAGGGGGTACAGCTGGAAAACTAGTTTGTAGAGGCTGTGGCTGCTTTCTTGCTCTATAGTGCTAGTCATTTTAGGTTTGTTATACATCAGCTTTGAAAACTTAAAACTCACTGCATTTTTTCAGGGTATCTCCGCATGCCTTTAGGGATAGATACTGCCAGCCTACTAGGACAACTTCACATTGCTCTCAAGAGAGTTCAGTACAGAGCTGCTGTTTTAATCTCTGAGAGCTCTGTAACAAGGTACTTAGTGAGGACCGCTGGTGTAAAGTTACGCATCATATAAACTATAGATTTGCAGGTTTTGTTAAACCAAGGTTTTCAGGGCAGCTGAAGGGACTGTTAA